ACGATCTCGTGGTAGATCAACTCTTGTAATACTCATATCATCAAGATCAATCAAGCAGGAAGTAGGGTATTACCTCCATAGAGAGGGCCTGAACCTGGGTAAACATCGTGTCCCCCGCCTCCTGTTACCATTAGCCTTAGACGCACAGCTCGGGACCCCCTACCCGAGATCCGCCGCTTTTGACACCGACAGACGGGCCCGGATTGTTCCTTTTATATGGCTTTTTCCGCTGACCGGCTTTAGAGCCACTGAATCCGGTGTTGACTGCCGTGTCTTCGGTGTTGTCACTGTTGTTTCGACGCTTGTGTCTGCTGCGTCGGGGCTTGCCGTTACCTTCTCCGGCTTCAGAAGTGTCAGGTTTACTTGAGTTGTTGCTACGGGCTAGCCAGTTATCATCGCCCGCACAGAAGCGGGTCATGAGCGTCGTAAGGGCTGCCATGGACTTCGGCTTTTCTTGGCCGAGGTGTCGGGCGAGCCATTCATCACGGATGTTATGTTTAAAGGCCGCTAGGGCTTTGGCATCCGGAAGTCGATGATCTAGTTCTTTTTAGTTAGGAACCTAGTCCAGAATTTCTTGGCTGACTCTCCGTGCTGTTGGATTATGTGACTTAAGTCGTCGGCATCCAGAGGTTGGACATAGGTACCTTGGAAGTTGTCAAGGAAGGCATCTTCCAAGTCCTCCCAACTGCCGATGGAGTTTTCGGACAGACTGTTCAAGCAGTGTCGAGCTGGTCCCTTGAGTTTTAGCGAGAGGTACTTGATGGCGTGGAGATCATCACCGCGGGCCATATGAATATGGAGAAGGAAGCCCTCAATCCATACCACAAGATCTGTTGTCCCATCATATGATTCAATGTTTACAGGTTTAAACCCTTCTGGGAATTCATGTTCCGTTACTTCATCAGTGAAGCATAGGGGGGTGTGGCGCCTCTATGTCGGGCCACGTCGCGACGTGGCTCGGATGGAGCTGGTCTGCGGTATTCGGCCCGGACAGGTTTGTATTTGTCATGTCCAGCAAGGTGGCCGTTGTTGCACATTGGGGCGCACCCCCGTGATCCATAGATCGATCTAGTCTGGCCTGCTTTGTCTTCCAAGTCATGTCGCAGGTCATGTGTGTATCCCCGAGCTGTTGTGTTTCTGTTTTTTTGGTGAGGTAGTGCGGGCTGGTGTTCGGACTGAGTTGCCGCTTTGTCCCGGCCACGTGGTGGTCGGTTAGCCGCATTATGCGCTGGTAGGACGGGCTCCAGCGCCTTGTTGTTGAATTGAGGTAGCAATTTTCGCTTCAGGTAACTTTTGGTTGGGCGCTCGAGGCCGTATTCCTCGGCTGCCAGGACCTCAGTCCATCTATCGTTGAGCAGATCTTGATCAGCTTGAAGCTGTTGCTGCTTATTTTTCAGGCTCTTTGCAGTGGCTATTAGTCAGCGCTTAAAGCGCTCCAGCTCGACGGGTTCCTCAGGCACGGTAAAATCATCGTCGCCGAGGCTTACCTTGTCCTCGGAGAGTGGCATGTAATTACTGTCCTTCGAGTCTTCATTCATGGCCTGTTCATCAGGGCTAGCTCGCCCGTCTTCCCGTTCGGCCTGTTCGGAAGTTGGCTCAACGGGGTCTTCATTGTCTTCGCCATCGTCCGGAGTATTATTTTCTCCTGTGCCGGTATCGCTGTTTTTGCCATGGCGTGACTTAGAGCGGCGCCGCTGACGTCGGCGCTTTGCCTGTTTCTCAGGAGGCTTATCCTCGACTGGATCCTTTTTGTTGTCGCCATTGTTTTCCTTGGGTGTATCCACCATGTATATGTCATACGAGGAGGTAGCCGCCCAGCGCCATGTGCGCGGTGGCTCTTGCGTCTGCTCCTCTCCAGCATCGTCGTCCATACCATCGATGTCTTCGGAGTCGAAATCGAGCATGTCGGTTAAGTCGTCGACAGTGGCTATAAAGTGGGTGGTGGGTGGGGAGCGGAATTCTTCGACATCAGCTTCCATCCAAACCAGATATAGTTCGGCTGGAATTCCCCAGATAAGGCAAGGGCCTTTAATGAGTTTAGCATATCGCCTAACGGTGAGTGCCGGAAGATATCCGCGGAGCTGAACTCAACGATCGGCGCCTGATAGACGGGCACGGATGTACACGGTTTGGAACCTATAGCCGGAGACGAGTCCGAGGTTCCGGTGACACAAGCCTCGTTCGAGGTCGAATCTGTGTCCGGCTCCAATGCCGTTGAGTCTGCGGTTTTCGTGGCGGGGTCAAGCTCCCCGTCCTCGGATGGCGCGGTCTGCTCGGGATCTAGGGCCAGAGCAGTTACAGGCGCTATCTCCTGAGCACTGTCCGATGACAGATTTAAGTCATGTTCATCGTGGCGGCAGGGAGCGGCTGTCATGGGCTCGGATCCATCGAAGATCAAGTCTCAGCGGATATCGGCGGTGTAGTTTAAGCTTCCAAACCTGACCTGATGGCCAGGGGCGTAGCTATCGATCTGCTCTAGATGGCCAAGCGAGTTGGCCCGCAGTGCGAAGCCGTCGAACATGAAGATCTGTCCGGGGAGGAAAACCTCACCCTGGACTGCATTGTTGTAGATGATTGATGAAGCCATCAAAACCTTCTGGTGACGACGCAGCGGAACTCTCAATGAAAGCAACAATGTCGGTATCAAAACCGACGGATCTCGGGTAGGGGGTCCCGAACTGTGCGTCTAAGGTCGATGGTAACAGGAGGCGGGGGACACGATGTTTACCCAGGTTCGGGCCCTCTCTATCGAGGTAATACCCTACTTCCTGCTATATCGATCTTGATGATATGAGTATTACAAGAGTTGATCTACCACGAGATCGTAATGGCTAAACCCTAGAAGTATAGCCTATGAGGGTTATGGATATGCCTCTACGGACTAAGCCCTCCGGTTTTATATAGACACCGGAGGGGACTAGGGTTGTACAAATTCGATTACAGAGAAAGGTATCTGCATATCCGGTCGCCAAGCTTGCCTTCCACGCCAAGGAGAGTCCCATGCGGACACGGGAGAGAATCTTCAGTCTTGTATCTTCATAGCCCAACAGTCCGGCCCATGTAACATATTCCGGCCGTCCGAGGACCCCTTAATCCAGGACTCCCTCAGTCGCGCCAGACGGATCCGTCCGTCGGCCGGGCAATGTCCTCTCGGGAGCGGCGGGGTACAATGCGGATTGCAATTGCCCCCTCCAACCCACATGAGATGACACCCTAGTCGACGGATCCGGATTGGTCGGAGTCCGATCCGCTGCCTGCCATGGCGGAGAAGGCCGAAAACCACCGGAGGTGAGCTCGGGTGGCGGGAGTGGAGGGAAGTGAAGTGGCTAGGGTTTACTCCCGCGAACGGATGGGGACGAACATATGTGCGGTCAGGTGGGCCAGCATGGGCCGGGTCCGACGTGGCGGGCGTGTCCAGACGCCCCCATATATGTCCCATATTTTGGCTAGATAGGAGTGGTGCCGGTCAGCCCGCATGTTTAAGACCCGTTTGAGGCGTCCGTCTGGATCAACAAAATGTGACCGTCAGTGCCCGGTCGGCTCGTCTGGACGTACGATGCGGCTTTGAGGCGCCCGGGCGCCTGGCTATAGATGCTCTTAATGCACATCTACAAAATCAGGAAGAGCGGAAAAGAATTTAAACGTTTGTAGACGGAGTCGTGCCACAACAAATCCACGATGCACCGAGTACTTGATGCACAATCAATACAAAAGGTACTAGTAGTACTTTAATGCCAAACACGCTCTAGGAGGACACGAATCAAAATTGGTCCATCAACGTACTCTGAAAAGAAAAATCAAAATCTGAGCCCTTCGTAGCTGAGCGAGCTTGGGCAAGTACACACTTTTTTTTTAGGGAAAGTACAAACTATTTTTAACTCACACAGCTTCGGTGGCCCCCCAGGGGATCTACTAGAAATCAAATTACCAGTGCTCCCATGATCCATGCAACCAGCCTTCAGAATTTGGATCCATTAAAGAAAAACTTAATAGTTTGGATCACAAGATCAGGGAAGCGCAACTTCACTCACTGCTGCTCCAGTGCCCAGCACGTGCCGCTTCTAGTACGGCCCGATTTCTTCTTCTTCTTCTTCCCCAAGATTCCATACTAGGCCGGCAGGCCTAGAGAAGCATCTCAGTACCGCTGATTGGACATGAGCTGGGTGGTGCCAGCCATAGACCGTTCGGCGGCGCGGTTGGGTGGAACCTGGAGCCCCGTCACGAGCTAGCGGAACGCGTGCGTCAGCGACTCGATGGGCTTTTCGCTTCGCCGGTACCGCACCGCGTCGTCGGCTCCGTTCGCGCCCGGGGTCAACAACGACCGAGCGAGAAGACAACTTTACGACCACCGCTGTAGTAGATACTGTGAGGTGAGCGCATACGTGTCGAGACCTCAGACTCCATGGGGTGGCATCGCGGTTGGTCAAACGGTTGGCAGCGACCGCAGGCCACACCGCACTTGAGAGCTGGCGGTGGCTTCTGTGCGGCCGTGAGCGTATATGGGCTCTGGCCAAGCAGTCAAAACACGCAGGACGGCGGCCAATTCACCTTTCACTCCTCCTCACTCCTCAGACGGGTTCGAGTTAAGACGGAGTCCAAGAAGAATTACCGCTGCATGTGCAGCACCACCGAATACTCCATTATAATTATACAGTATAGAATAAGGAATGAACCAGCCAGGTAATTTTGTCTGACCTGTTTTACACACTGCTACTCAATCCGACTACCACTAGTCAATTTTACGTTTTAACCAACCAATGAACCACTCCACAAGATAACACACACATAAACTTAAACAGACATTAAGACACGGATGATAAATCTACTGCTTTGTCGCCCCTTTTTTTTCTATATCGAATGATGATATATGTACAGGTTTTCACGGCGAGTAGATCCTTCCTGCGGGTCATGGGATTAGCGGCGATCCATCCATCCATCCATCCATCAATTTGACGGCCAGGAGAGTTAGCTGGCTGGCTGGTGCCACGGACTGTGCCTAGCTAGGCTTGCGCTTTCACGGAGTACAGCAGCTCCTGGACGTTGGGAGGGACACGGTACATGCAGATCATTAGGATGCTGAAGCAATGGCGAAAAGAAGCGGTTAGTTATTAGGCGGTCAACTGGAAATGCAAATTACCAGGTCTCCAACACCAGAGGCGAGCATAGGGTACAGCTCTGAAAGCGAATTCTCTTCCTTGAGCCTTTCCAGGCCGTGGAGCCGCTCCGGTTTCGCCTCGTCGCCTGCGCTGTTTTCTTCGGTTTTAAGGGACCCGTTGCCGGCCTTCTTCCTGAAGTATATCTCCACCTCCTGGGCTTGCCGTGACAGCTGAAGAGCAACGAACTGAAACGACGCAGAAACAGGGTAAGCAGGGTCTTCACTTATTCGTTTCGATCTATACCCACCAAGGTTGTGTCACATTACAAACGGCAAGTGTGTGGAGGCAAGTGATCAGTGATTACCTGGCATAGGTGGCTAACAGAGAATGTTGGCTGGCAGCTGAGATAGGACTTTTCCAGTTTAGGCATGCTTTGTCCATCAACCGGAGTTAGAGCGAGGTACAAGTTGAACTGCACAACAGAACAGACATATTCAGCAAACCTAATGGACGTAAACCAGGGGCCACTGCTTGTACAAGATTGGCCTGGCCCAGGTAGCCATGTATGTGCATGTGCTGATGTTTTATATTGCCTGTGCAACACTACAAAACACACCGGATTAACACGTACGGACAAAAGGACGCATCCAGCCTTTTAGAATGTTTATTAGTAATCTGAATCTTCCAAAGCACAAATAAAATAAATACCAACTCTACTTATTATTTTTGCAAAAGGAAGCAACTGTAAATTTAAACTATTGCAACGGTCTGTTTTTACCTTGGTATCAAATTCATCAGCATTACGGAGGTGATCCACCAACTTGGCAACACGCCCGCCCTTGACCATCCTTCCACTGGAGCCACCGGCACTGCCATGTCGAGTCTGGCTGCGGGTGCCATTTTTGCCCCAGGCAAGCATCTCTCCCCGCAGAGGAGAAGTGGCCAAGATATCTCTGGCACCTCCCAAATCATCATTCTCCTCGTAGCTGCTATCAACACTGCCCATAGTCTTAGCAGGGGATGATCGTGGCACAGGCCACCTCCGAGCTCTTTTCATCTTGACATCTGGTGAACGATCATCAACAGAAGACGACTCTTTGCTGCCATCATTACCATTTTCTTCTCTCTCGTCGTCATCAATGTCAGTTGGGGCATTATCAGGAGAACTAGTCCGTCCTCTCTTCTTTGTCCGCATACTCCCACGGGTCTTTCTTGTAGAAGCTATTGCTTTTGCATTGGAGCGCTTCTTCACAAGTGCTTCTGTTTGCCTTCGAAATGTTTCAGCAATGGAATCTTGAATCTTTCATGACAAATACAGCAAATGTCAATAACAAGAAGACAAATACCAAATGACCAGGGCAGATAAGTTTCCACCAGACATAAGACAGCCAAATAAACCAACCTTTTTGTTGCGAGTCTTCTCTTCTTCACCAAAAGCAAGTTCCTGACGTATCAAGCAAATTAGAATCAGTGGCAGGTACTACAACAAAAGCTAGATAAACAAGAGCGACAAGACAACTAAGTGTCGCAACTGGAGAAATTATGCATCACCTCTTCTTCGTACTTGTCAATGTCTGGATATAAAGCTAGAATTAAAGCGTCAAAATTAGGATCATCCCTCAAGGAACGTCTGCTCTTGCAGTGAGTGCGGCATGCTGGGCATTCATTATTTCTGCAAAAAACACCAGACCACTTATACTGTCATTGAAATAAAGTATATACTTGGATTTTTCAAAGCCCCAATCAGGCTGGGCTATACTTTTTCTTAATGACACTGTAGACAAATAACATAAGGGATCATACCCAAGCCGCATGGATTTATCAATGCAGTCCCTACAAAACCGGTGCAAACACTCCATAACCGTTCTTGTTTTCCGGATAATGCCTGCAACAGAGAACCATAAGAGAAGCAAATTCTTAGATATCACAGTTTGAGCAGACATTCTATCTAGTTTCTTGTATAAAACTCATCCTAGCTTCTTGATGATGTGGACAGTCCCAACATGCATACTTGCATAACAGAAACATGTGAGCTTTGATGAATGTGCTAGCTTCAACATTTGTAGTAAATAATCACAAAAAGATGTACAGAACACATTATCCAGCTTTAATTACAAGTATTACAAGCAATGCTGTCAACACAGAAATCATGAAAAGTAAACAGAGTTGCTATCTCTGAATTTGAAAGCAAGTTGACAAGGCATGCTTACCTAAGCATATAGGGCACTGCACTTCCTTCCGTATATCCATCAATTTCACTAGTATAAACCTGCATGAGAAAACAGTACTGTTTAGCTACTAGTTTCGCTAACAAGAAAGTCAAATCTTCCATTACCAATTTGCATTTCCAATTACTGATTAACAACTTATGGAACACACAGAAGTGTTCCGTGGCATTTTTCAAAGAAATGCGTAGTATAAAGAACATAATGTGCAGGTGTTCACAGTGGGACTAGAGAAAACAACGGGAAATATGGAACCATTAGCACCTTGGGACAACTTGAACACTGGAAACTCACATTTGACAGGCAGAAGAAGAGTTGATTTGATTCAATTAACCAGCTGAGAAATCTAAGCAGTACCAATAAAATCCAAACGACATACAATAGGTGGTCAACAAAAACAGTGTCTACACAATTATCTGGATCAAAGGGAACCAAATGTGAAAAGGTGTGTGTGCTACAATATGATAACAGAGTTTATATATCTAGTGAACAAAATGCTTTCCTGACAGGAAACTGCACTGCTCCTACAGCAACAGAGGGGTTGATTTGCACCTCGCATCAGCAGCGAGAAAAGATTCATAGAAGCATCTGTGCATTTCAGTACCGAGGAAAGATTCATAGAGACAGCTGATGGAAGGTAAAGCATAATGCTATCGCGAGAATAAGAACGCATTTGCACAAAATTGAGTTAAGACACCTAAACAGTGTAAGACCTATCGCAGTCATGGGGGTCAGGACAGCAACAGTAGAACCAGATAGATATTCAGAGCACGACAGGCCAAGTCATGGCCAAGAACACTGCAGGAAACACGAAGAGGCTCCCAATCCAGACGAAGGCGGCACCTGCTACAAAATGAGAAAATCCACGGGAAGATCTTACATGGGCTGGATGAGCTTGAATAGTGTTTGCCATAAGAACCTGGTGTCTCCACAGAACCATTCGACATGATGAACACGGGTGCACGGGGGAGAGGCTGGCCAGGAGCTCACACGGGTCTAAGCATGGCAAGATCATTCAGAAGGTCAGGCTAAGAGCCGGGATGGAAGAGTTGGCCGTGGCCGCACACGATTAGAAGCAAGAGAAACAGGGAACTATTCCCGTAGATAGCTGAACCACGACGAACATGACCGCCAGTTCAGATGTGGCTGGCGACTCCGGGGTAAGAGCTCGGGTATGCGGCGATCGACCCTGGATGCCGCTCCCAGCATTTGCCGTCGTGAGCACGGCGCCTCCGCTGAGCCGTGTGACGAAAGCATGCATGCTACAGAAAGATCCCATGACTCGGCGGTGACGGGAGCGCTCGCGGCGGCGCGGGGCGGACGAAGCGGCCGGCGCCTGCGCCTAACGACGAGGACGACTCGTGGTGGGCCGCCGCCGCCGCCACGAGAAACCCGAGCCAGCATACGAAGCACGAGACCACGAAGATCCCATGGCGACAGGAGCGCCGAGCCCGACGAGGTGAGACGATGCGGCCGCCGGCCCGGTGGGACTCCCCATCCGATGACCTCCGGCACCACCCCGGCGAAGCGAAGCCAGCGTACGGGGACGCGGCGTGACGACGACGGGAAATCGGCAACGGATGCGAGAGGAGGAGGAGGAGATGGGAAGGGGCGGGGAGGGAGGAGGGGCGTCGACGGCCCACTTACTCGTCCACGTCGGCGGCGTCGCTCTCCGACGACGGGCTGTCGTCGCTGTCCTCGTCGTCCCCGCCGCTGCCGCCGCCTTCCTCGTGCTCGTCCTGCTGCTGCTGCTGCTTCCGCTGCTGCTCCTCCTCCTCGTCGTCCTCCCCCGCATCGGAATCTGCAGAGCCCGTGAGACACGCAAGCCAGTCAGCGACCCCGGCGCCGAAACAGAGGACGCGATGCGCGCATCGCGTGTGACGGTGGCAGATGAGTCGGCGGCGCGCGTCGCTGGAAGCAGAGCTCTCACCGCCGCCACCGTCCTTGGCCAGCTCCGCGGAGCCCCCGTTGGCGGCCCTCTGGACGCCGCCGCCGCCCTCCGTGTCGGAGCCGGCGGCCCCGGCGGCAGCGGCAGCCTCCTCCTCCCGGACGTGCCCGTCGTCCGCGTCGGGCGACGGGTGCGGGCGCTTCTGCGCGGGCATTCCGGCCGGCCGGCTGCCCTCCTCGCTCGTCGGCGCGGCGCTCGTCGCGGGGGAGAGGACGGACGGGCGCGGGCGGGCGGAGGAGTGAGAGGGAGGGAGGAGGCAGGAGGTGGGTGGAAGCGGCTCGAGTCGAGGGGGAGGCGGAGAGCGAGAGGAAAAGAAAGGCGAGGCGAGGCAGGGGACGGGGGGTGGGGGTGGTGCCTGCCTCTGCCTGCCCTCCCCTGTGCTGCGTCGCGTGTAACTTTGGGTTGGTGCGCGTGGCCGCCCCGCCCCGACCCGGCCCGGCCCGCTGGAACCGCGGCCCGGAACAAATTTTTAACTTGCGTACGGTAGGAAAAATAAAGACCGTGGGGGGAGGACGAGCTCGACTCCGTCGTCTCCGGCGAGCCGGTTCGTCGTCGGTGAGCCTCTCGGGTCAACGGCGGACGACGGCCGCCACGCACGCGCTGAGCCGGAGGAGTTTTCCGAGGAGGAGCCGCGGGCTGCATATGGGACTTGCGTCGCGTACGTAGGCTTGCCCGATGCGGGAAGGCGGTGATGATTGGGAGTGGTACTCCGTTGCGTTGACCAATGCATCGGTGTGAGTTGTGTTCTTCGGCGTGTGGCCGTGGGTACGATCGACGACCATTCGCCTCGTTCCATCCAAGCGATTGTCGATCTATTGGAAGAGAAGAGAAATGCCTTCGATCAAACCAAGGATAGTAGGATACACTCATCCTGCCATTGGTTATTATCAGCCAGCATTCGCTCGAAGAACGTATTATTATCACAGGAGTGCAATCATCGCAGTGCATTTCTATCCGCGATCTCCCGTATTTAGAGGCCATATTTCTTTTCTGATTTCCTGCAAGGCAAACTAAACTCGTACCCCCCTCCCCCCGTTTCTTTTTAGTCTGCATATAAGGTTTGGTCAAAGTCAAACTTTACATAGTTTGACTTACTTTATATTAAAAAATATCAACATTCGTAATTTGATATCAACATTTTCAGATGCACCATGATATGCATTTTCATATTATATAGTTTAAGTATTGTAGGTGTTCATACTTTTTTATATAAATTTGGTCAAACTTTGTGCAGTCTGACTTTGACCAAAACTTATACGCGGAGTAAAAATGAACGGAGGGAGTATTCATGAGTGCTTGGATCGAAGCGGCGGGGTTGACTATTCAGGCCTACAGTACAACCGAGTGAGCCTCGTGTTCTTTTTCTTTTTTCATGCGTGCGCCGCGTGATATATATACGTCTGCATGGTTGAGTCACTTTGTGTGCGGCAGATCCTGAAAAGCCCCCTGGTTTTCAGTTGAGGCGTTACGATGGATATACCCCATGTCGTGTAGTATTATTATGTGCAGGGGTAGGGCCGAACATAGAAAGGTGCAAACCAAGGGTGGAACTGTGGGCTATATGGGTTAAACCCATTTTACAACCATTTTATCTTACTTTTTTTGCTAAATTTTTCAAAGCTTTTGGCCTATGCTCTTGGCTGAAGTCGGGTTGTTGTGGATCTTGATACACTGATTACGTGAAAATACAATGTGGATGTGGTTACTTGCATACTAGGGTCAGAGCGATTGGATTTTCACAAAACATGCCACACAAGTTCAACCATTATTCCATCTGTTTGGAGTTGATGGACACACGAGGCCTTCTCTGGCCGCTTTTGGTATTTACCTTTTACTAAGTTTCTAAATTTGAGGGTTCTACCGATAGTTTGGATTTAGTTTACACGCTCTGTCATTTGACAAATGTAAAAAAATCTGACATAAACTTTGCCATTTGGGTATTTTTATAATTTATCATTAGATAGGAGTAGTTTTATCTTATTGTTAGTGTTATACATACCTATGTTATTCTTTACAAGATGTACATGCAACTAAGAAAAAGAACCGACTCCACCGCTAGAGAGAAGGATGCCATAGAGGAACCGCAAGTCATCGCAATTTTAAAAAAGTGACAAATAAATTACTGACAATTAGAAATAAATCATTATAGCCAATCATGTCGTTTCACTTTAGCTAAATATCCAGCCAAGATCAAAAAAGAACTCGTCGACACGCTTAAAAAAGTGTACAAGATGAGGACTTTGATATTGTACACTTCAGCACATATGTTCTCTTTATTTTTAGAATTATATAAAGGTGCTTCTGGAGTTCCAAAAATTAGAAAAACGGATTCCATATGTAAATATTAAATTGGTGTACATAGTTTTTAGAAGTTTTGCAGAAACATGCGTCGACTTGTGGTCTACACTAAAAAAAACATGAGATATTTAGCAACACTAAAGCCAATTTATAACCAAAATTCTTAACTTTTTTGTCTAAATTGTTAAAATGTTTGATCTACGGTCGGGAGGGGATTGCAGCCAAAGTTCACGGGCCTTAACCCAACACTGACTATGTTATGTGGTTATTTGCATACTAGGGTCTGAGTAGTTAGATCTTCACGAAGCATGCCACATAAGTTTGACCCGCATTAGCTCTTTGCTCCATCCCTTTGGAGTTGACATGAGGCCTTCACTGGGAGCTTTTGGTATTTACTTTACACGATTTAATTCATAAATTTGAAGTTTCTAGTGATAGTTTGGATTTAGTTTAGATGCTCTCTTATTTGGAAATTTAGAAATCCAGTTTAAGCTTTCTAATGTGGATATCTTTCCTGCTTATAAAGAGAGTTGATGGTGAGTTCACATGTGGCCCCAATAAACTTCACAAAAAAATAATATGCTCCTACCCACATGTGAAACTAGCAACCATCCAACTCATATGTGAGACCTAGCATGAATAAAGAAATATAATACTAAATTCATGTGAGAACACACTTGTAACAAACAAAACGAACAAAATAGAGTCCAACTCAATATCACGATCTTGGGTTTACTTTATGAAACCAACCAGTTTTTCCAGTTATATACAATAGCATAAGAGAGCAAACAAATTAAAACCCCAATGTTTCCATAGAGCTTGTCCTCCTACCTCAGATCGCCGACCTTGTGCAAATGACCTATTGTGGTCAATTAAAGTTCTGCAACACCTACCATATGATTTCTCATTGTAATTTTTACTCTCTTTTAGTCATGGATTAGGTAACGGCTAAATGGCAGTAACATCTTTTGATGATCTCCTAAGTCAGTGGCCTAACTCATGATCTTTTTTATGACTCGTAGCAATGCACAGTTACTGTGCTAGCTGTATACTTTGTCGGTAGGGAGGAGTAGTTTCCTCTTACTTTTTTTTAGTGATATGCATACCTCTAATATTATTTACAAGATGTGCCGCGTTAAAAAATCTAACTCCATGGCTAAAGAGAAGGACATCATAGGGGAATGCAGGTCTTTGCAATTTTAAAGGCGACAAATAAATTTTGGAAAATTATATTGATATCACTATAGCCACTTATGTTCGGCTTTGCTAAATATCAAATCCAAGGTGGAAAACGAAAGTCATCAATACACTGAAAGAAAAATGTACAAGCTGAGGACTTTGGTATTCTACACTTTCAGCACATCTGCTCTCTTTATTTTAAAATTGTGGAAAGGTGCTTGTGGAGTTCCAAAAAATTCAAGAAACAATCTCAAAAGTGGATATTAAAACGGCCTACATTTTTTTCCAAGTTCCGCGAATAGACTTGTGGTCTACACCAAAAAACATGCGAGACTAAAATGGCATCCTTATATGCTATATTTGTTTCATTTTCTGCACATGTCCCACTACATTTCTTCAATACGACAATTTCTTGAGATTTTCTAAAACATGATAAATATTTTTTTTTACAAGATAAGACATCTCCAATGCTTATGTGTGATGACTTCTCTTACTCTTCCACGTCAATTTTTGTTTACGCGGCACATTGTTTTATTAATGAGGATAAAGAATCAACTCTTATCATAAATACGGTCTCGTAGCACAATCCAAGAAAAAGATTGTTGGATATTCATTTTTCACGTTCTAATTGGACTCACATAATCTTAATTTAAGTGAAATCTAATGTATTAAATATTTAATCTATATAAGAGATAACTCATTAAAATGGTTGTCTCTAAAATCTATCATCTCCTAAGAGAACATGTGAAGAAATAACACAGTGTGTGTGGCCTAAGTTGAGTAATTATAGGTAGTTCCAAAACTCACATGCAACACAAGAAGAGTTGAATCCATTCAATTGTGCGCCGACTCTAGATGTATCACGACCAGAAGTTAAACATTCAAGCAACTCAAAACCTTGTCAGTTTTGACTTACCGACCAAAACACATGTGGCGAGAATTTCTGCCTCCCTCCATCATTTTGGTTGGCATACTCTATTACTATATTATTTAGAATATCCTTTTACAGCATATGCAAAAAACATGCCTTTTTGGACTTGAGCCCTCCGATGAAGGGCTTCCCACTACTAGGGAAAACCTTAGACACAGAGGTATAGCAGTAGCGCTACTGCTACTTAGTAGTAGCACGTGTCAGCAAAGTGCGCTACGGCTATGGTTGTAGCAGTAGCGCGTCTGCAGGTAAAAGCGCTACTACTATAATTCCCACAATGTTGCCGGTAGGCTAGGAATAGGAGTAGCGATCCAGCAGAAAGCACGCTACCGCTAAGTGCCTTGTAGTATCGTGTTTCTGATATAGAGCGCTACTGTTAAGAAAAAGAAAATAAAATAAAAAATAAATAGAAAAATAAATGAAATGAAAGAAATAGAAAAGGAGAAATGAAAAAAGAAAATGTAAAGAAAAACAAAGGACAAAGGCATAGCAGTAGCGCTTGTTCTCACAAAGCGCTATAGCTACTTTAGCAGTAGCACTTCTTGTACTCCCGCGCTATAGCTAAGCTCCTTAGATAAAAGGAAAAGAAAAAGGGAAATAAATAGCTACTTCCTATAGCAGTAGCGCGTTTGGTGGAAAAGCGCTATAGGTAACTTAGCTATAGCGCTTTTTTCCTACTAACACTACTGCTAGTTTGACTTAACCACACGCGGGCTCAAAATTTTGCTAAGTTCTTTCCCCCCCTC